CCCCTCCCATAAGGGATAAAAGTCAGACCTCAATGACGAACTCTTTGCAGGAAGCAAAGTAGTTCAATATATTTTGAGTCCTTCCTGAAGCTCTGCGTATGCTGGTCGGTTTTTTCTGCTACTGTTATAATTACTTTGGAGACTTCTGTTTTTGGCAGCATTCCACAGCGCTGATGAGCATGGGCTTACCTTGGGAAACTGTCTATAATTAGTTCTGGCTAGAAAATGAAAGTAATTTCCAGCCTTGCATTAAAATAGGTTTTGCTTTTCAAACAAGCTTGTGCTTTAGTACGTTTGACGAAGCCTGGGTCAGAACAGGTGTAGTGGTGAAGGCAACAGGCTAGAAACTGGGAGGTGGCGAGTTCTAGTCCTGCCTGAGGCACAAGGACAGCTGGGTGACCTTGGGCCAGTCATTCTCTCTCAACCTGAGAAAGCAGGCAATGGCAAACCACGGCTAAAAATCCTTGCCAAGAAAACTGCAGGGATTTGTTCAGGCAGTAGCCAAGAGTTAACGCTGACTCGAAGGCATCGGGGGGGGGGGGGGGAGAAGGGGGAGGAAACCAAATACAGGTTGTCCTCAACTTACGACCACAATCGAGCCCAAAATTTCCATTGCTGAGCCAGACCGTTGTTAAGTGTGTTTTGCCTCAATTTAAGACCTTTCTTGCCACAGTTGTTAAGTGAATCACTGCGATTGTTAACAGTATGGTTGTTCAGTGAATCTGGCTTCCCCACAGACGTTGTTTGTCAGAAGGTTGCAAAAGGGGATCACATAATCCCGGGGACACTGCGACCGTCATAAATACGAGCCCATTGCCAAGCGTCTGAATTTTGATCACGTGATGCTGCAACGGTCATAAGTGTGAAAATTACGCTCATAAACCCCCTTTTTCAGTGCCGTTGTAACTTTGAATGGTCACTAAACAAATAATTGTAAACTGAGGACTATTTGCAATGGGTTGTGTTCAGGTGGGCAAAGAAGAGCCCATGGTAGGTTGGTGGTGGGAATATCTGCTCTGGGTCACATAAACAGGTAACAGATAATCAGAGGGACCTTATAGGTCATCTAGTCCAACCCTCCCCCCTGCCCAAGTAGGAGACACTACACCATTTCTGACAAATGGCAGCCCAATCTCTTCTTGAAAGTCACAAGTGATGGCGCTCCCACAATTTCTGAAGGCAACTTCTGTTCCATGGGTTGATGGTTCTCCCTGTCAGAAAGTTTCTCCTTATTTCCAGGCTAAATCTCTCTTTGTTCAATTTCCATCCATTATTCCTTGTCTGGCCTTCAGCTGCTTTGCAAAATAGCTTGACCCCTCCCTCCTCTCTGTGGCATCCCCTCAAATATTGGAAGATGCTATCCTGTCTCCCCTGGTCCTTCTCTTTACTAGACTAGCCAAGCGCAGTTCCTGTAACCGTTCTTCGTATGCCTTAGTTTCCAGTCCCCTAATCCTCCTGGTTGCTCTTCTCTGCACTTTTTCTAGAGTCTCAACATCTTTTTTATAATGTGGTGACCAAAACTGGATGCAGTACATGATCAGGAAAGAGAAGGCGGGCTGCTCACCATAGAGGAGCGGGCAATGTTCTGAAGTGCCATCAAAAAGCTCCGCCTGTTGGGTTGGATTAAACACAGGGAGGGAAGGAATCAAATTTGTTTTTGAGCTGATTTTTGCTTCCGCTGATTCGGATTTTCAGAGAGTTTTCCTGCTGTCTGTCCGTGGGACGGACAGAATCCTTCCCTCTTCTCAACATTTCTTTCAAGGGAGGGAAAGCCAGTCCAGTCTTCTGCTATCTTGTGTCTGAGTCATGAAATCAGATAACAAAGCAACCGAGGCCAAAATAACAAGGCAATCTTTCTTACAACAAAACAGCAAACATGCTGACTCAGTTCTTGGGAATGCTGTGGCATGGGTGGCCCGAGGGCAGCCCTGGGGAAGGCAAAAAGTGGCCCGCCTCGAAGTTCCGGTAGGCCACGCCCACCATGGCCACACCCACCTAGCAACTGGGCAGAGAACCAGTTGCTGGGATTTTTGAATCCAACCCTGGTTACAACGGCACTGAAAAAAGTGACTTATGACCATTTTTCAGTGGTATGACCTTTACAGCATCCTGGCCACGTGATCAAAATTCAGCTGCTTGGCAACTGGTTCGTATTTATGATGGTTGCAGCGTCCCGGCGTCCCGTAAACCCCTTTTGCGACCTTCTGACAAAGTCCATGAGTAAACCAAACTTAACCGTGTTACTAATGTAACAAAAATTGCACTGATTCACTTAACAACAGTTAAGTCGCAAAATGGGACAAAATTCACTTAACAAATGCCTCAATTACAAATGAAATTCTGGGGCTCAATTGTGGTCATAGGTTGACATCTACCCGTATGTTACACCCCAAAAGGCAGTTCTGCCTCTCGCCCCTCCATCTCTCCCAATCTGAAGAATATCACAGATCCATTCTACAGAGGAATTACTGAGTCTGTCATCTGCACCTCTATAACTGTCCGGTTTGGCTCTGCAACCCAACAGGACAGACAGAGACTTCAGAGGGTAATTAGGACTGCAGAAAAAACAATTACTACCAACCTGCCTTCAGTCGAGGACCTGTATACAGCAGGAGTCAAAAAGAGGGCTGTGAAAATATTTACAGACCTCTCACATCCCGGACAAAAACTGTTTCAATTCCTACCCTCAAAACATTGCTATAGAGCACTGCACACCAGAACAACTAGGCACAAGGACATTTTTTTCCCGAAGGCCATCACTTGGCTCAACAAGTCCAACTATTTACAAAGTCCGCATTACTACACTATAGAGCACTGCACAGCAGAACGAGACACAAGAACAGTTTTTTCCCAAAAGCCGTTACTCTGCTAAACAAATAATTCCCTCAACACTGTTCAACTACTAACAAAGTGTACACTACTATCACTGTTAATCTTCTCAGCACTCCTTATCACCCATCCCCTCCCACTTGACTGTTTCCTAGTATGATTTGATTGTTGATTGTACCTTATGACTATCACTGTGTTGTACGTTATGATTCTTGATTCTTAATGAATGTACCTTTTCTTTATGTATACTGGGAGTATTTACACCAAGACAAATTCCTTGTGTGTCCAATCACACTTGGCCAATAAAGTATTCTATGCTATGGTACGCTATGCTATGGTATGCTATGGTATGGTATGCTATGCTATGCTATTAATATTCTCATCACTCATCACCCATCCCCTCCCACTTGTGACTGTATGACTGTTACTTTGTCACGTATCCTTGCGATTTATATGGACTGTTTCCTAGTATGATTTGATTGCTTATTGTACCCTGACTATTAAGTGTTGTACCTTATGATTCTTGACTCTTGATGAATGTATCTTTTACGTACACTGAGAGTGTTTGCACTAAAACAAATTCCTTGTGTGTCCAATTACACTTGGCCAATAAAGAATTCTGTTCTGTTCTCTTCTGTTCTGTTCTGTTCTGTTCTATTCCTATTCCTATTCTGTTCTATTCCTATTCCTTTTTCTTCTTCTTTTAAATAAAAGTTTTATTTAAGTTTTCACAAAACATACAAATACAAATAAATTTTTTTTTTGAGAACAGCGTGGCCCTGGGTTATCACTTCTCCATACAGACATAAACAATACACATTTATCTTATACATTCTAATCCATATCTTATAACTATTTTTGCAATTTTTTCAATAGCTTTTCCATTTCTTTACTTCCTATAGCCTTATTTTAAATTATATCATTCCTTTTTTAATTCAATTACATATCTTTTTCTAATTTTTAAAATCTTTCTAATCAATGTTTTTATACTTTCATCTGTCCTGTTTACAATTTCATATTATGTTTTCTCATAAAACAAATTTTCCCCTGTAATTACTAGACTGGAGTGTAAAACTTTTGTATCTTTTTTCAAATCTTATTTAAAAATTTAAGTTACATCTTTACAGTTATAACGTTCATTTTCTAACCTCTATTTTATAACACATACCTATTTTCAATCGAATTCTGCCTAGTACATTCCCTTAAAATTCACACTAAAACACACTAAATTCTTAAAATAAAAGTATATATGAATATATATCTGTATATATGTATAACAATAGTAAATGGAATAATTGAATAGAATAATTATTCCATTTACTATTGTTATACATATATAGTACAGCTCTGCCATTAATATTAATGACTATCTTTTACATTTCTATTTCTTTTAACAAACATTACCTAGTAATATCAGTTGTCTTTCACTTCAATCATCTATATTTCATATTTTACTTATTACTATCTTTAAATAAAAAACCAAACAATAGTTATTAACAGTAGTCAATAAAGTTATTATTTTTATTCAAGTTCATCTTGTCAACTGATAAAAATCTTCTGTTTCTTTTCAGTTTTTTTTAAACATTCTTTTTAATTATTGAGATCCTTATTCTCTTTACAAATATTCCACTAAACATCACTTTTTCTATGACTTTAACATATTTTCTAACCCTTTTCTATTTCTAATATAGCAATGCTATCCCACGCACCCTCTCCTTAAGTTAAATTTTAACCATTGTCTCTGTGTCTTTTAAATAGGATTATACCTTTAATTCTTGTAAGTTTTTCCTGTACCTCTATATCTTGTTTCTGTCTTTTGTAGCTTCTTTTCCTTTCCCTCTTCTCCTTCTTCTTCTCCCCTTTTTATTCCCTTTTCTGATTCTCCCTTCTGTGATCCTCCCTTCTGCTTCTTCCTGATATTATGGTTACTTTTCAGATTATTCTTTTTTTTGGTTGTTGCTTCAGTGCTTAAGTTTTTAACTCCCTTACCTCCCTTTTCCTTTTTTACCCCACTTAGAATTGCTTGGTCATTAAAGATGGCTTCTTCGTCCGGTCGGGTTCTTCTTTGAGGTGGCCATTTCTGACCACCGCTGCAACCGCCTTTGGGAAAGGGATAATGGCCAGCCGAGGAGGAGAGATGAGGCTCTCCTCAACCCCGCTGACGGCTCCCCCTTCTTCACCACCTCTACGGGGTGGCTTCAGCCCCAAATCCGGGCGGCTCCGGGCACTCCAGCATCGAGCACGGATCAAAACCACGGACAATCGCGATTTCGGTCCTTAGCCGAAGAAACCCAAACCAGAAGTCCTATTCCTATTCCTTTTTCTATTCTACTCTATTCCTATTCCTTTTTCTCTTCTCTTCTATTCCTATTTCATTCTTCTATTCCTTTTTCAATCTATTCTATTCTATTCCTATTTCATTCTATTCTATTCTATTCTATT